TATATATATATATATATAAAACTGACAGTCTGTGATTAGATTCATTTGTACAGAGAAATATTAATACAGTATTTATGACAAGTTATCACATTTTATCATCACTTTGACACCATGGAAGTGGTAAACTAAGACATTGCACTTGTCATAACTGCTCCTGGCACGCATGTGTTAGTCGTGGGAATCAGACAACGATGCTATCCCCGAGAGTGATCGGATATCAACACTTGCAACACGTCAGCACTGATTATTAAAATGACAAAAATGGAGGTATAGAAAAGACAGAATTGATGCATTTTGGAGATGTTTTTGCAGCAGAACGCAACTGCCAGTATGAGAAATGACTTGACTTCGCTTGCAAGGAACTGCTTAGAGGCAGAAAGTTAGGCAACCGAAAAAAACTTCAAATGCAATTTTCTCGCGCAGAATTGAATCTCTCGTTCTGACTGAAAAAGCAAAGCAATAGAATTCACAAGTAACTATGCATACAGTGCCCGCAGAACATTGCATTTTCGCGCAGGTTTTAAAATGCAAATCCAGTTTTACTCTCTAATTTAGATCAAGATGAGCTTTACTTGAAAAACAACTTTCAGAAACTACACATTTATCTATCCATCTATCCATATCTACCTACCTATCTATCTATCTATACTCATCTGTTTACTGTTATCTACTAATCATTTCTATTACAATAATGTGTATTTTCTCCATCTATCCATTTATCCATCTATCCATATCTATCTATCCATATCTATTCATATCTATCTATCCATATCCATCTGTCTATATCCATCTATCCATATCTACCTACCTATCTATCTATCTATCTATCTATCTATCAATACTCATCTGTTTACTGTTTTCTACTAATCATTTCTATTACAACAATGCGTATTTTTACTCAAAAATAACTTGTTTCAGTTGCAATAGTGCCATTGTGTACATTTATTTTGCGCAAAATGTCATATTGCAATTACTTCAAGAGTAAAACATCAAAGCAGGAAATGAATACTTATATTTTCCAATAATTTACTCTCAGTGTTATGTTTCAGAAGAAAAATAATTCTGGCGCTAAATACCTCCAAGATTCAATTTCAGAACTAAAAAGTGCAAATTATGGCCAAAGGAATTTTTTCTTGTGACAAACAATTTTTCTGCAGCCATTATTTGCATTATTTTTTGTAAATTTGAATGCAAAATTACAAAATTCAAAAATCAAATACTAAATTTGTTTCTCAGTGTTTTTAAGAAAAATTAACATGTGTTTGCTGCTTAAGAAATTGCACAATTCACTATAAACTGATAAAAAGCAAATTTGTAATCTTTTTTGAGGCGGGAAGTAATCAGTACTGATTATTGGTTATTTGCACACTAATCTAATCATTTAATTCTGTGCAACAAACAGAAGTCAGAACTTTGCATGCAATCATTTCTTATCAAATAAGCATAATAAATCACTGATAATTTGAAATATCTAAAATTTTGTTTAGACTGTAAAATTGAAATATTAAATGTATGAAAATAAAATTAATTAAATAAAAGTGATTATCTACGTTTACGTGATATAATTGTTCGCGTTTCTGTCATGAAGAAGAATAATCACGTATCACGTAAACATAGACAATTATATCAGCAACAATAAATATGCTATTTTAATGCAATGCACTGATAAAATTTTACAAATAACTAACTTATTATTCTACTTTTCTATTTCTCTCTTTTTCTTCTTCACGTAATCTCGCCTTTAACACGCAAACATACCGCAAAACCAAATTTACCGCAAAACTAAATTTCCCGGTTTGCAATTCATCTACATGCATGATGACCCAATTTACAACTTCGTAGCTACTTGTTCCGTATTAATTCTACCTTCAAATTCTTTGTCAACATTCATTTACTAATTAGCGTTAATTTTAAGTTCAGTTCTTTAGTAAAACCATTTCATTGCATCTTATGCATACATCGAGCAAGCAAATATGTTATTACTATTTTATATTTTAGTTTATAAATATTTTATATTTTTAAATTATTCAAAATTAACCATAGCTTTCTTTCATTTTTTATTCATAACTTGCTGCATTAATGGCATAACGAAAATAACTTACCTCCCTGATACTAAGCTCTGTCTTATACTACCTCCAACTTTATTAATTTTGCTAATTTTTGTCTATCAAATTGCATAGTATGCAATACTCATATTTAAATAAGCGCTTTTAAAATTATTTTGGCATCTAGCCAGTAAGTGTGTAATTATATTCTCAAAATAAAAAAAATTTTCGTAATCCTTAAGTAATTTTATGCAGTTATTCTATCTTGAATTCGGACATAATTTGTGTACACGTAGTCTATTTCTACTACGTGATATCACTTGTATTGAGTCGTTGACAGCTATCGACGTATTAATCAAATGTGAATGCATTTTTCAGTAAATATGCAAATATCAGATTCTATCGTTAGCATATTGAGAATAGGACTTTCTGTAATGAAATTTATAACATTGGATAGTATCTGTGATGATTTTTTACAGCAAGTAAACTTTTGTATTGCTTGTTTTTACGTGTATTTTTGATTAAGAATATGTGTACATTCAGAGTTTAGAATGGGTCTATAAGTAGTGAGCAGCTTTCAGTTGGAACACATGTCAAAGGTTAATGCGTATGATTTCTGGAACAGATGCCTCTTGACTGGATTCGTATGCAGTACTGGATTATTCGCTTCATCGATGAATATCAGCGATCTATTCGTCTGAAGTAAAGTATAATTTGTTTTCATCTTAAAAATTACGCTAGCAACTAGCTTTTTACTGTTATTTGATCTACTTCCGTAGTTTTTCATCAATTTGTTTTTGATGGTTTTTGTTTGCAGAGCTGAAAAATACCATGCATCCCTGCAGGGCAGTGTCACTTATTGTATCATTTGTTATTTCTTGCTGCACTGCATGAGAAACAATTGAAGGATTCAGTTCTGTAAGTGATTTTTTAATCTATTTTCAATCGTTGTGAAGTCCAAATTTGAAAATATGAAATTAATTGTTGTAAAAATTGCAAGAGATAATCTCTTTTTTCCTTTTTTCGTTTGCTTATTGCTCTTAATTTTGATAAAGTGATGGTCACTATCCTGTTTTGGTCCACTTTCACAACTGTCCCTTTGTTTGCTACTAAATTTAATCTCTGCTAATTTTTTGCTCACTTTCGTTTATTTTTCTTCTATTTTCTTCTTCTTATTATTATTGTCATTATTTCAGGTTTTATGCTATGTGCGT